CACACGCTCTCTGCTTGCTTGTATGTTGTTTTCTATTTACGCACACACATGGAGGACAGGAGTGGATTGTGACGAGAGCGCTCCTGTTGTGAGTGCTTTCAATGTTCTCGTATTGATTGGTGACTCCGGGGAACAAAACTAATTTAGCTGCCGGGCAAACAGGCATGCGTGTCTTCTGTGCCATTTTGTGATTGTGTGTGAGCGTGGAGAGTACACACGTGCATGTTTTTGTGAGAATGGATTGGTTTGTACATGAATGTAACAGCTGTTTGTGAACACAATGGGCAGTTTATTGGTGAGTGTGGACAACAGACTCAGCTTGAGTAGTCCTGTGGTTGACGGTTAGCTGCCTTGGGGTGTTCAGTCATGCTTCCAGGAGTAAAACAAATGAAGTAATAAACAGGATGAAACAATGCCTCAAGCAAAACATGTACAAGACAAGCTAGGTGCGGGGCTAAAATAGAAATGAATGGTACATGTTGAGGGCATTAGGCTTGATGGGTCAGGCTTACCAAGGATAATCATGTAAGGCAGAGTGTTTGAGTGTGTGTGTGTGTGTTTATGTGTGTGTCTCTGTGTGAGTGTGTGTGTGTGTGCTCTTATTTTCTTACCGATTACATTGAGTTGTGCCCTTGCCTCCACAGGTTTGCCATTGATGTTGCCGAGCAACGCTTCACAAACATATATCCCAGTGTCAGCAGGGGCGGGGGCAAGAATAACAAGCCGACGCCCACTGGCCAGACGACGCCCATCGCGTTTCCAAGACACCACGAGGCTGTCAATCGGTCTGAGAGCAGAGGAGCGGAGAGGAGAAATAAGGGAAGCAGTAGCGGTGTTATTTGGAGAAAAAGGAAAAAGAGTGGCAGAAGGCAATTACAACATATTAAATCCATCAGTTTATGTGTCAATGAAGCAGGAAATGAATGATGACAGTCTGTATATCAGAGCAGTCAGATCTACTCAGCATGAAGCAGCTTCAGTCAGTTACTCTGGATGTTGGAGAAAAGAAATGGGTTTTCATGTAGAGTGAACATTTGTTCTGGATAAACAACATCAAAACACCATTCTTTTGATGCGTGTGTGTGTGTGTGCGTGTGTGTGTGTGTGTGTGTGTGTGCGTGTGTGTGTGTGTGTGTGTGTGTGCGTGTG